ATAGACAGATGCCTCTGTTTCACTGTAACTCTTCTGCAAAAACACAGTAGTGAAGAACATAGCTGAGATACAGAGATGCCTCTGAACAAATAACTCAATTGGCCCAGATTCTACCTAAACTTTAGGGAAGCTGGTAGGTTTGGTAATCTGATGAGCTGAGTATCAAGCTTTGCCACCGCCTAAAAGGTCCTGTTCCTTTCCTCTGTTTGCATCCTCTTTCAATAATGTTCTCCCGCTGCTTAACCTGTACCAGCACAAGGGCCCACTGGACCTCTCCAACTGTCAATTCAATTCCCTCACAGCAGAAGACACCCCAGCTCTGTACTTTCTCATGGAAGATCTAATGAACAGCACTACCAGGTAGGAAGAGAGGAAGGGAAAGATCAGGAGCAGAGGTAAGGAAAGTGCTGGATTCTGCACCTGGGCCAACCCTGGATGTATGTACAGACTAGGGAATAAGATGCTGGAAAGCAGTGCTGCAGAAAGGGACCTGGGGGTCCTGGTCACTGGCAGATTGAACATGAGCCAGCAGTGCCCTGGCAGCCAGGTCGGCCAACTCCGTCCTGAGGTGCATCACAGCCGGGCAAGGGAGGGGATTGTCCTGCTCTGCAGCAGCCTTATCTTTAATATTCTGGGCAGTTTTGGGTGCCACAATATGAAAAAGATATAAAGCTATGAGAGAGTGGTCAAAGAAGGGCTATGAAGAAGGTGAAGGGCCTTGAAGGGAAGCTGTATGAGGAGTGGCTGAGGTAATTTGGTTTTTTCAGCCTGGAGGAGACTGAGGGGAGACCTCACTGCAGTTACAGCTTCCTCCTGAGGGGAAGAGGAGGGGCAGACACTGATCTCTTCTCTGTGACCAGTGACAGGAAGGCCTGAAGTTCTGTCAGGGAGGTTTAGGCTGGATATTAGAAAAAGGTTCTTCACCCAGAGGATGTCTGGGCTGAAAGGCCCCCCAGGGTCACAGCATCAGCCTGCCAGAATTCTAGAAGCGTTTGGACAATGCTCTCAGGCACAAGGTGTGACTCCTGGGGATGGTGCTGTGCAGGTCCAGGAGTTGGATCCAGTGATCCTTACAGGTCCCTTCCAACACAGCATATTCTGTTATTCTGTGATTCTTTGCTTGCCTGCTTTCACTGTGAGCCAAAATCAGAAAGCTGAGTTTAAATGGGATTAAGACATGAATCTTTGTTGTCTGGAGGGGAGAAAAATCACAATATCACTAATGCTTACAGGATTATATGAATGGGACAGGGAGAGAGAATCTGGGCTTTTACTATGCTGGGATTTATTTTAACTTCAGTGGTATCAAATCTTCTAATGTGCAGAACAGTAATGTATTTTTCCTATCTTCATTTTGTTCCGTTCTTCCCTGTTCACTGCTTATAATGGGACCACACACAGGATTAAAGACACTACAGATCTAATTGCAGTCTGGATTGAATTTAAGGAAAAGTAAAAAATCGGGGGGGTGGGGGTTGCTGCTAAGCTGGTTTTCTCCAACACAGCTTAACAAGATGTTTTGTTTGAATATTTACAGTGCTATTGAGGCCTATTCTTCCTGAAGCTTTTAACTAAATTTTGAAGTTAGTGAGAATTTATGGCCCTGGGCACAATTTTTAGCATACTAGAATACAAAAAAGAAATTTAAGAGTTGAGCATAAACAATGAAAATTCCATGTAGGTTTGCTCTGTGAAGATGACAGATGATTACAAGCACTTGACTATCAGTTAATTTAGAAATTATCAGTTTGCACTTACTTTTCATGTGATCTCATCACGGAAATGGTTGCTAGGATGCTATGCTTTGAAATTTGAAACTCTCCCCAGAAAAAGAGCAATTGTGAAAAGGTTTTTTGGAATCTATTTTCTTTTTGGCAGCCTCTCAATAGTGAAATTATTGATGCTAAGTGGTTTTCTTATATCAAGGCTTCATCTTACAAGCACTTATACCTAGATTTAATTTATGCTCTATGTTAGATCTCTGAGTGAAGCTAAGCTTGCATAAGACATATGTATTCAGCTGACCTTAAACTCCTGTTAACTTTCTGTGCCTAATATTTTTTCCTTGCTTCTGGCAATTATGTTTCCAGGTTACTTTTTAGATCATGGAAATAATTTTTCAGTGGTCACTAGCTTTCACCACTGAACAAACATGGAGACTCATGTAAAATGGAAGCTGTGTGTGTCTGAGCCGAGTTGCTTAAAACCTCAGTGAGAGGATGAATAGTGAACATTACATGCCTGCATGGCACTTTGGCTAAGTCCTCTCAAATCCCAGTCCCTGGTAATTTTTAGCAAGTCTTGTGACTTTCCTCTCACCTTTTATGTGTGAGGGTATTTTAAAACTTTTAGTCTATTCCAGACGATGCAGATAGAACTGGGACTCTGTCTGCAAGCATTGGAGATCACTTTTGACAGTCATGGCTTGGTGCTTTTGGCAGAGGTGATCCCTGCACGACCTTGTGTTATGCTGAGCAGGACAGTAGTTGGCTGCTGTAGGGAGCAGCTAGGCAAGAAGACCTGAATGAGAGGGAGAAATAGGAAGACATAAACAGACTAGAGAGCCCTTAATCCATGCAATGGGAGCAGCCACTGGAAGGAACAGGTCAGAGAATCTCAAACAGGAAATCAATACTAAGCTTGTTTTGTATTTCAGAAAGAGGAGATTTATACCTTTCTGCTAGAAATTCTGAAATACGCACATATACCTATGAATACTTATCTGGATAGTCCTGACCTTAACAGTTATTTGAATATTATATACTGAAGAATCTTTCTTGTGAATTTGAGACCCAGGAGGCCTGACACTTTATTCACTTATATCCTTTTCCTAAATGACTAGTTAATGCCAGGGGAATTAGTCCCCATATGCAATAGTCCTGACTTAATTTATGAAGTGTCAGAATGGGGCCAGTAAGTCAGTAGACATGTAAGCCCAGAGATGTAGTGGAATCCTGATTCAAAAGAAAACAGCAATCATGTTCATTTCCCTCTAGCTGTGACCGAGAAAAGTATTTACATCCTAAGAAAAGGGAATTACATGCTATTGTCCTGAAAAGAAACCACAAATTATAGAGAAAAATCCAGCTCACTCCTCAGAACATCTGGGGAAAGCAGATGGATAGAAGGCTGATTCCCAGGAATATACAGGAGGCACACTGATCCACCTGGCCTCTGCTGATACCTCCTTCACCTGTGGCCCACTTGTCCTGGAGTCTTGGGACCCATGAATGGTTTTGGGGTTGCAGGAAGGATGAATTGACTCTGAGACATTGGGGAAAATCCGAGGATAAAGACTCCACTGCCATTCTTGAAAGGGGAACATGATGTCGGGCTGGAGGGGGAGCCCAAATACTTGCTGTGCTGAAGGTAACTGGGGAGCAGGGCAGTGGGGACAGAAGAGTGCTTTGTTCTAGTGTGGGATACACTCATACAAGGAGGTAGGAGCTCCACATTATGAAGCAACTATTAAGCCAAATCTTTATAAAATGGTTTTAATCAAGTCTTCTAGGAATAGCCCATGACTAAAGCTCTGACTAAAATACCCTCACTAGGACTCACTAGAAGAGAAGTTGACAACCATGCAAATGCCACCCACACAGCTGGTCATTGTGGACCCAGAAATCAGGGCATGCTAAAATCTGCAGGACAATACCTTATAACAATAAATCAAGTCTGCTCTTCTGTTGATGGTGTCACTGTGGCTCCCAGGTAGGCTGGCAGTAGTGTCTCTGCAATCCTCCATTGAGCATACCAGCTCCCTGAGTATCCCTCTCCATTGGATGGAAGAGACCTACCCCACAGACAGCTGCAAGGAGTACCCACTGTTTTCTATCCATGTTCTCTAGCCAGATTTGTTGGCTTGCTAGAGGTTTGTGGCACAGGCTGGTTGGAGCAGGGCCTGAGGATGTGAACTGGTATGCTGGGAAGGAGGGAGCACAAGCAGCATGTCTCTAGAGAGCAAAATGGGAGTTCCTCTGTGGCTTATAAGCATTTATCACAGCAGGACATAGGCAGTTGGAGTAGCCTCTTCTTGCTCAGGATAACCCAGGAGTCTAATTTAGGCAACTACAATCCCAGACATAAAACCAAAATGCAATGCATGTGACCACTGAGGTCCTGCATGAGTAATCAATCACTTTGATGGCATTTTTCTTTGTCTGCAAACTGATAGGTTTAGTTTGTGGGGGAAAAAAGAGAAAAGGAATTTTTAAGCTGAATAAAAATCAGCACTTCAAAAAATATATAGTCTACCCTTTCTTACTGTTTATAGGCCTCTAATTTGATAGTGCTGCTGCAGCTGCCAAACTGTCTAGATTGACTCAAAGTTACTGTAATAACATTCATTTCTTCTATATGAGGTAGTGTAGGAGAACTCTCTTTTCAAAAATCGTCAGCTAATGATGGAAGATAAAATAGATTACTTCTAAACAGGTATTTTTAGCTAAAAGAACTTGATTATATTAGAAGTTCTGGTCTATAAATATAACAGTTTGTGAACTGTTCTCATCTGTCTCGTCCCTGTCCTGTGTCAGTAGGGGGAAGTAGTAACTAAGACCTTCTGTGGCTTAGATACTAAGTGCTTTCATCAGAGTATTTTTGTCCACCCTCCTTTTTCTCCCTCTTTGACATCAGCAAGGTTTATTTATATTCTGCTATGAGGTATTTTATCTACTACTGAAAATTACTGACAACTGGTTTGTCAGTGACGCTTATGTCCAAATAAATCTGCTTAGTTTGCAACATTTTTTGTTAATCTGGATTAAAATACTGCAGATGCTTCTCCCTGAAAGATATTAATATTATTTCAATTAGGCTAGTCACTGTAACAGCAGTTTTCTAAAAATTGCAGTGATGGTGGCTTCGAGGCATGCAGTGTGAGCAAGGACACCTCTCGCTCCCCTTCCAGACCTCAGGCTGTGTCTCCAAACTCTCTGGCTGCTCCGAGCAGAGCCAGTTTAGCTCCACCCTCTGAGCAGTCCAGCCCTTATTTATATGAAGTCTGTGGTCCAACTGGCTTCAGATGGTGTGTGTTATGTGCGTGTGCCTGCCTCCTGAGTGTGAGACAAGCTGGGATCATGAGCCAGGGTTGTTCCAAGTGGTTTTAATCAGCAGCCCATTAGAGGAGAACGGAAAATTTCAAACAGGGTAAGAACCAAGTAAGTAAACGTAACTTTGAACTTGCAATCTGGACAAAACAAATGCAAATAAAAATCTTCATAGTCTGTCAGTTTTCAGATAAATTATCACTTTTAGAGAGAAAGCTGTGCGTTATAACAGGAAGGAGGAAATTTAAAAGGACTGGAATGAAGGAAACTGTAAAAACAAAGTGGGAATTGAGAATGCAAGAGAAAAAACAGCAAAGGATTGTTCACAAAGTTGGTACACTCTCTTACTTTTTTAAGCTGTGGACAGGACATGTTAAGCTTTAACCTCTTCCTTTCTTGTATACTATTGTCTGGCTCAGTAAGTAGTTCCTTTTGCAAAGGGGGTAAAGATTCTGCTCCTCACCTGTCTGCTGCGAGGTTTGTTTTCCTGAGAGCATGGAGTAGAAGAGCTCTTCACAGGTCCTTGCAGGAGGCCCCGTGGCATGCTGCTGTTTGCTGCTGCTCACTAGTTGTTTTTTCACAGGTTGTTCCAGTACCTCCATGGGAAGGCGTTCCCCAAACCTCTGCTCCTCTGGAACTCGTGACTTCTTGCCTGTTACCAGGAAAACACTCACTTTTTCCCATAGAAATGGGAAAATTCATGCTAGCTTTGAGTAAAATGTGCCTCTGAACTTCTTTTACCCTGGCAAGACGTGGCTACTTGGACTGCACCTGCAATGTGGCAAAGGGGAAAGTGAGGCCATGGTTTGTGGGCAAGTCCTCAGATGCCGCAGGCTTTGTCGCCCTCGTCCCTTCCTTCTGGCCTTAGTGGTGGCCCTCTGTCTGTTCTGCCAGACCCTGACTCCTCTCATGACCAGCAGCATCCTTTCAGCAGTTGTTAATGGGATTGCACCCAACAAACTGACTAAAACACAGCGAGGAAGATACAAGGAGGTCTACCCAAGCACCATTCACTGCTTCATCCCTGGCAGCATTTCAGAGACAGTGAAAAAGGTAAGTCAGCTGGAAGAGAGTGCTGAGCAATAATTAGCAAAGCAAGGGATAGAAAGTCTGGCAGGATCATCTGAGTCCAGCTAAAATTAGCCTAAGCTTGGAAGTCTGGGATCTGTATACAAACAAATGGGTGATCTAATGACAGCAGCATATGCACAAGCACATTCCCATTACCAGCTCCTCAGTGTGCTGTTATTAACACAGGAATCCTGAAATCTTCAACTGAAATATGGCATTGCCCTGTGATTCCAGCAAGATTTCCGTTTGCTGCACAGACCATGCTTTATTTTGGCTTTGGGAATTGGTTTAGAGGCTTTACAGTACAGGCACGTAAATCAGGAGCCAGTGGGGTTTCATGGAAGTGACAGAGGCTGTTAATTGGCACAGGGACAGCAGCTCCCCTGTATTACAGTTATCTGCTCGTCAGCTCTGAACTTTACTGGGATTCTGCTGAGAAGCTGAATTAAACTGCATTTGAGAAATAAAAGAATATTTTCAAATCACACTATATACTTTGGAATCTCTGTCTCACAAATTTTACTTTGTCCATAGGTTAATTGACTTCATGTTTATTTTGTATAGGGTTCCTAGGATGGGTGTTAAAACTTAACAAATGGAGACACAGTTATTTTTGTTGGAAAATGTAGTTTGTTAAATGGTTTCCAGATTGAGGTAGTTATTTTTACTCTGGAATCTGTGATCAGCACTAGTATAAATGTTTCAGGTTTCCTTCAGTCCTGTAGAGGAGCTGCTAACAGTGCAGCAGATACCACACCATGAAATTATCATTATCCTAACATTTAATGTCCAACTGTAGCAGAACTGTAAAAAATTTGTTACCTCACAAATTATGGACAGCAACCACATAAAGCAATTCAAATATGTATGTTAAAAAAAAACCAAAACAACCCAAACAAAAAAAGCCAGGCTGCTTCTTTGATTAGACGGAGTTCATAGTCTAAAAGGTCAGCAATATTGATTTTAGGAGAGCAGCTGTAAAGTGCATCTTCTGCAACAATCAAAAACAGATAAGGGGAATAACTGTGGCATAAACTCTTTAACCTTAACTCTTAAAATACTGGGTTTTTTTCTTATAGTGCATGCTGCATTTGTCATAGTTTTATATTTTAATGACCTTTTAGTACACTAGGTACCCAGATTCAGATCTGATCTGCAATATGATATAAATAATTACAGCTTAAAGGGAAATAGGCACAGCTGACACATGCGGGTTGCATTGTATTACATCTATAGAAACAGTCTATTCCTCTTTACTCATTGCTATTGTAATGGCAAAAAACACTTCATACCTTGGGCTACTTAATGTCTATAAGAACTGGTGAAGTAATGGCAAAGTTTTGCTGGTATGCTGTTTGGCTGAAAATATCTGTAGCATCTTTTGCAAATTGCCTGAGAAAAAATGCAGATTGACATTGAACTTTGTGTGCTGGCCAATAGAAACGAGAAGAAAGCTTTTGTTTTTACAACATGCTGTACTTACTGCACTCCAGCATACGTGTTTGGATGTGACTATCACATGCACATGCTGGGCCTGTAGTACAGATGTGTGTATATTAACCCTTATTGGTATGTTTTCTAGGGCTGTGCTACCTTAACACATTCCTTTTCAAGTTCTTAAGACCACCCATAGCTAGCTCCCTGTTTGTCTTGAATTTCTCCTCTAGAGCAAGATGAACAAAATGTCTTACACATGTTGGGATGTTACTCTAAGTTGCTCTCTGTTTCCCAACTTTCTCTGCTGGTTGTGTGGGCTGAATAATAATCTCAGAGAACAGAAAAGACAAACATCACCAAAAATCTCTACCACTTTGCTTTGAAAGCATGTTCTTGAACTGTGTTTTCATCCACTGCTTATTCAGATAGCTGAACTGTTATCTAGCTTTATTTTATTGGGCACTCAGTAACATCTAAGACAGATGTCACTGTTGAAATTTTACACTTTTATTTTACAGTCACGTGCCCACTGACAGGAACTAATTTGAAAACAATTTTTCATTAAAGCTCTGGTTAAAATCTTCATGTATGAACCTGGAAAAATACTTCAAAATATAGTTATTCACATCTATAATTAACTAGTCATACATTTGTCCCTATTCAATTAAAAATCCAGCAAGAAAATTTAAATGCATTTAAAAAATCTATTATACAGTTAAACAGTGACTTAAAGCAAACACTGCATCATGTCTTATGAAATCAAAGTTCATTAATAAATTTTAAGGAAAATAAGACCCTGCTGGAGATATTATTTTTTAGGTAGCACATAGCGTTTATGGGTTTTGACTGATAGCATGTCACACTGCATATTCGCTTATGGGTAGGGGCAGGTTTCGTTCTTGCCTTCTTCAGAAAAACAACCAGTATTGTGTTGAGCCTGTGGTGAGAATTTGTTTCTGATTGTTATTAGAGGGGCAAAATCCCTTTCCAAAATATAATAATTCATTTAGAGTATGCACAGCATTAAGTGCCTCAAAAAACTTCCACCAAACAAAAACAAAAACCCCTGGCATCTTTTATGGGCCATTTCTTGGCAGCAAAGGAAGGAAAACAGAAGTCAACATTTTCTAGTACAAAATTAAATGTTAATATCTGAAGCATGAAAAATAGAAGGCTTATTTCTGATTCTCCAGCATTAAAGGCAATAGAGAGTGATATCCCATCTAATAGCAAGCTGTCTGTAGCTTAGCAGACTCTTACCTCCCGAGTGATGAAATATTGGGAATACATATAGTAGGGAGAAGAGCTGGTGCTGTAGCATTGAAACTGGAATAAGTATCAACCCCCCCAAAAAAAAAATTGAAAAATCAACCCATACAAGCCCTGGCACATTATTGTGTACCAGCCAGCTGTAATAGTGTTACACTTACCTTCAGTAATTTCACTCTGCTTCTTGGCCAGTTTTGAGAAGAGCTAATTATCTGGTTAACCTATGCTTCCACTCTCAGAATTAATTCATCCAGAAACAATTTAGATGTCTCTGCACACATGTAATTTTGCCCAGGTAGATGGTGTACCTCTGCTGGGTAGAAGGAATATAGACTGTATTGCTTTTAGGAGGGCAGATACCTGGTGTAGAGTTGCTTTCCAGTCAGAGAAGACCCAAAACCACTTTTCCTATTTTTCTTAAAAGGCCTAGTTCCCAAATCATTAAGCTTTATGTCCAGGTTGAAATTGTGAGCCTGGTTCACCATACTAGCAGTAGGATTTTCTGTTTGGTCCTGGAAAGCAAAATTCTCTCTTTTCTTTATATCTTCCACAGCTGAAAAAAAAAGGAGGAGGAAATTATTAATCACCTTTTATAGTTACTACTCCTGTGATAGGCACTTTTTTGGCATACTAGCTTTCCAGCCATTATGAATGTATTTAGACAAAAAAACCAACAAACAAAAAATTTTCAATTTTAAATTGGGTTTTGAAGGAGATTATTTCATGGATACTCACAAGACTTTTGATTCACATGCCCTGGCCATTTAGGCCAGCTGAGAACAAGAAAGCAAAGAAGATACACAGCTGATTATATGAGAACTTGATGAATGGGTTAGGCTGGTATCCAAATAAATGAAATACAGGTGTGGTGAAAAAAAGCTGTCTTTGTCTTCTTTTCAAGGCCCTGAACCTGCCACTTAGCTTTTGTTAAAATATGTATTTCAAAGAGGAATTATATTGAAATGAGCGAACAGGAAGTATAAGAAAAGGCTTTTTATGGCTTCAGTCTGAACAGATAGGATAGGATAGGATAGGATAGGATAGGATAGGATAGGATAGGATAGGATAGGATAGGATAGGATAGGATAGGATAGGATAGGATAGAATTTCCTATGAGTGGACAGTATGAAAGATACTAGATAATGGCAGGCTGATGTGGCCAATCTGAAAGGTACTATGTAGAAAAAGAAGGGGAAAAAAAGAAAGAAAAGAAAAACATCATAGTTTAGTCTTAACCAACATCTAGAGAAATACCTGGTTGAATGTCTTGCATAGGTTACTGGCCAAGGCATCTATATTTGAAAATTGGCAGTGAAATTACTGAAGAGCTGAGAAAATATTACTAGAACGTTAGAACATGGGATATCCTGAGTGGAATTATCCTCTCTTTACTTGAGTGTTCCACTCTGTCAGAGGCAGAAAGCTGGACTTCACAGTCAATGGAAACGACTGCGTCTAATGCAAAATTCATCATGAATTAATGCAGACATTTAAAACAAATCTAGTGAATTTCATCCTCTAAAGACTCATCTCTTTTTCTATTGTTTGTTTTTGTTTTTTAAATGGAATATGCCCATTTCAGACAGAATAAGCAGGCAACAAAGGAGAAGCAGAGTCTGTTGTGGAAGAAGGCATGGGGAAAGGAAGCAGATGTGGGAGAGTAGGGAACTACAGCTGCAAACTGTAGTAACCTCAGAAAGAACAGAAGAGATTGTGTACAGAAAGGGCTGAATTTTGCAAGGGAAAAGAAAGGGAGATGAGAATGGAAATAGAAAGAAAAGAAGACAAAGCTAATGAGAAGTTTTGAAATGTAAATATCTGAAAAAGGAGAACTGAAGCTGGATGATAGAATGAGATGATTTTTGCTATTATGCAGAATGGAGCATAGTGAGAGTTCTGGATGGAAAAGATTACATTATGCATAATAAGGTTGAATACATTCTTAAGGTTTGATACATTTTTAACTTAAAAGCTATTTTACAGAATAAGTAGGGGGATGAGAACTTTTCACAAAAGAACAAACAACTTTCCTAGTATGAAATCTGCAACCAGAAAGCAATCGACATAGGAGGGTATGGTATCAGTGACTGATTTCCTTGGAATGATACCACAATCACATTGTACCCTATGAAAGGAGGACATTTGTTTTCCCCCTTTGTAATGAAAAATGAAATTCCACTAAGGAAGCAACTATTTTTAATGAGAAGATAGCTAGAGATATTCTGGTGATAAAGGGCAAGGCTATTGTGGTAGCAGTCAGGAAGGAGGGGCAGGGT